CCCCCCCCCCCCCATCGATTCACACTGCACCAGGTTGATCCCAGAAATCATTGCACAGGAATTCAAACACAACTGTGATCCAGGTATGCAGAGAACACTGGAATAGTTTTATTAAAACATCGCAAGACAGAGTCATTCACCATTAATAAGAGAGGAAAAACGCTGCTCTTGCCTTTATTCTCCTACAAAACAGCTAGCTATTGTTTTATCTTTAAACTTGGATTTTTTTTTTTTACAAGACAGAGAAATAAAAAAAACATGTTGTGATATGAAGTGCTGTAAGAGTTTAAAAACATTATGAAAGGCCATTAATCAGTGACTAGTCCCACAGATCTTATCGTTGTTTGCATCAATGGTGCAAAAAAAGAAAAAGAAAACACACTGTAAAATACTAGACCATAGGTAGCATTGTTACCATAACATGGACATTTTCCTTCTAGTAAAATCACACTTGTAAGATTGTCTCGCTAATACGAGAAGTGGTCATTGATTAATAATAAAATATTAAAATGCTGTACAGGAATGGTGGCTGAAAGGTGTTGGGGCTCTGCTCGCTCGGCTAACTATGGGGTTTCTCTGAAATGCACCTACTACCTACTACCATCACCCATAATGCAAGTGGTCATTGGTGTGATGTCACAGCTGTGGGAGGGTGTGCGGTTACTACGGCTCTAGATGTGAATGTAAACGGGACGAAAGCAAGGAAAGATGGGTCTTTATACGATACTGCAGTGTTTTGTGTGTGTGTGTGTGTGTCTGCATGGCATGTATATATGTATGTGTGTGTGTGTGTGTGTGTGTGTGTGTATTAGCGCGTGTGTGCGGGGGGGCATGTGCAGCGTCTATAGAAATGACTCAGGCTAAGATAAGCTGACCCTCGCTTGTGGCCAGTCACACACACTGATCACTGTATTTACACAAGGTAACACTGAGATAGAGCAACAGCCAATCACGCTGCAGTGATGTCACACGCACGGGTTCACGACTACACTTTTGTTTTTGTACACAGAGTTTTAGAGCCAGAGGAAAAACCACCGGCAGAGTTCCAGGCAGTGTTTTACTTCTCCATCTCACAAAGTCACCTCGAAGAGAATTTGTGCTTGTGGGTAAAAAATAAAAAATAAAATAAAATAAAATAAAATCTTGCTTCTGGTGGCTGAATATCACAAGTCACCGCTTAACAAAATAAAAGCACAGGAATAAAGAAACAACTGTATAGAAGAAAAACAGAATACTTCAGTTGGTCACAGTATTACAACCCGAATGTCAGATTTTGAATAAACATTAAAAAAACACCCACCGTCTTTAATTCTGAAACACTTAGGTAACGTTATTAACCAGGGACGTGTTTTATCAGGTTTCAGAGCACAACTTCCTGTCAGTGATGATGGGAAGTTGTTGGGTTTTTTTTTTAAATCTCTGTTGTGTATTCCTGATCACATCCCTGAATGAAAAAAAAAAAAACACACTGGAGTAAGAAAAGCGTTTCCATCCCTTCTCAGTGCTGATCGTCCTCTGGCTTATTTAGCACCTGGCAAACGTGTGGTCACAATCATCTGTCCATCGCTTCCCTTTTCAAGTGTCTCTCCTCTTCCCTTTTATTTACAGTCACAGAGAAAACATTCCAGAGTTATTTCATCTGGAGGCAGCAGGAGAAGAGGACAGAATCAGGCATCCCTCATATTTATTCTATAGTTTTTGGCACAGGTCGAGCCTCGCTCATGTCCAATTTGTCTCCCCCTCCATTTCCCAAAAGCTTCAAAGCGGTTATTCCTCGACAGGATTCCTGGCTCGTATTCAAAAAATGCATTAACTGACGTGCACGTAAACACGCAAGGAGAGAGGCGTGGACACACTTCAGGAGCTCACGATTCAAGTCTTCGTTATTAGACACCAATGATAAGTTAAAGAGAGAATGTGGATGTGGTGCGAGTTTCTGTCTAACATGGCTTTCTGATTCACTGGATATTCTTTTCACACAGTGTGTGTGTGTGTGTGTGTGCATGTGCGTGTGTGTGTGTGTGTATGAGAAATAGAGCGAAACTTTTCCATGATAAACACACAGCACGCCACGTTACCAGTAATGATTCATCAGTCTACGTTTCATGGAATCAGGATAAAGCACATGTCTACTATTTACAACTCTGTACAGTGTGTGTGTGTGTGTGTGTGTGTGTGTGTGTGTGTGTGTGTGTGTGTGTTAAAGAGAGTGCTGTAGCTTTTCCCACTAGAGGGCAGTGTACAGATCCTAGTGGAGGAGGAGAGATTTGAAGAGCAGAAAAAGAAACAGAGAGAAAAGAGAAGGAGCCAGAGCTTTAGTTGCAGTGGATTGTGGGTATTGCGGTTTGGCCAGCAATGGTGGACTGAGCAGCGTGAGGAGTGTGTTCACGAAGAACAAGAGTAGCAGAGATGATGATCTTGTAGGATGAAGAAGACTGTTGACCGGTACTTGTGTGTGAGGAGGTGATGTTGACCTTGTGCAGTCGGTAACTGAGGTGAGGTGTTGGTGAGTTCCGACTTGCTGTGTTGTTTCTGGTGAACCGGTGATGAAGTGAGATTCAGTGGACTTTGACGAACTGGGGTCCTGTTGGTGCTTGAAGCACTCGGCTCTGGTTGAGCGCTGCAGCGTTGGGTCTTGTTGGCGGTGAGAACTGGATTCAGGCAGTACTGATGTGGACTGATGCAGCTCTGGTATCTAGTGGACTGACGACTGTGGTCGTGCGGTGGGGTGAGGCCGGCTAGCCGGGTCCAGTTGGTCGTTGGGAACGGAGCGTCGGTTCTGGTCTGGTCGGTTGGTGGCCAGGTACTTCGCTCTCATACTGGAGGTGTACTGAAGAGATTGGAAGATGGTGAGAAGAAAGGAGGTGTCGGGAAAGCGTGGAGAGAGGTGGTGACAGAAAGAGGAAAGAGAGACAAACGTGTTGGGGAGGGACACAACCAGAGGGAGAAATTGAGATAAGAGCAGGAAACAATGAGAAGCGAGAGAGGAAGAGAGGGTCAGGGGAAGAGGACAAAAAAGACAAGAGGAGGAAAAATCAAGTCATATTTACACTGAAGAATAAATGTTTTTTAAATAATAGAAAGAAAGAAAGATAGATAGATAGATAGATAGATAGATAATTTGATGTAAACACACACGTAGAGCAGAAATACTTTGACCAGTCATTTGGACAGCCAGGGGTGTTTGATTACAACAGTCATTCATCATATCAGAGCTGATTAATTTTGGATGGTGTTAATGTAAATTAGCAGATGTCCTTTATTTTTGGTCAGTGGGTTGTAGTTAGTGCTCTAGTTCTGATGTAGTAGGTTAGCCTGGTATGAGTTAGTGGTCTCCTGTGAGCAGCTGGCTAGTTACAGCTGGACATCTCTGGTTTCCAGGTCACTGCAGGAGCGACAGCCCAGTCGACACAGCGCTGATGAATCGCTGCCGCTGCTACAGTTTTCGACAGTGGAGGTGGGAAACATGTGCTCCTGTGGCTGTTCAATGGTGAAGGGTGAGGAGGGGGGGCACAGAAACAGAGGACACACACACCTCGACCAGAGAATGCACACATAATAGACACAGTGTGGGAACAGAGGGGGGAGGAGGAGCAGGATCTTTTAGAGGTTTGGGCTCGACTTTACTCAGGGGCTGATCTGTCCATAAGATTTTCAGATTCATTGCAGATCTTGAGGAGGTGGCAGGAAATAAATCCTACAAGCTGTGCAGAAGTTGTGAATAATGGTAAGATTTGTTGATTACGGTGATTAGACGGTCCACAGTATTTGTAGCCTCAGTTGATGCACAACATCTTCCGCTACAGGCCCAGCAGCACCTTGTCAAGACCAGAATAATCAACGTGTTTACAGTTAAAAGATGGTGCAGTTCAGACGCCTGCAGACCTGGCAGGATTGAGTCTGGAGAAAACGCTTCATACGTGACAGCACTAAATATTCTTTTGAATGTTTTAGAAGTGTTTTGAGGTTCTCTCAACCGCGACAAACAATCTGTTGTTTCGTGATCTGCAAGTCCTCTCTCACTTCACTGACGGCCACAGTGAAACCAACCAGACTTTGTACATCAGAAGTAGAGAACAACTTTGTATTGACCCGACAAATGACACTTATCAAAAGAGTCAAGCTTCTCTTTTGATGCAAGTGCACATCCAACTATCAACAGTCTTCTTTTTTTTTAAAAAGCTCCAGGTGATCCCAGGCTGCCAAAATGACCTTCATGACGGCGATCCATGATCCCGCTCTAGTTTGAGCACAGAGGACACTTGCTGTGGTGTAGGGATGGGGGGACTACCTTCCAATATCCACACTAGCATTCGCTACATATCAAAAATAAGACATATTTAATCACACTGAGCTTCCTTCATTGCCTCATAAAATCATGTATTACCCTCTCAGTGGGTTGATTGTTTTTGTTTGCAGCAGCACTGTGGGTATTGGAAGATAGTGGAGGGAGAGTGTGTTCTAGAAAGTGTGCACTTACAGAGGGTGGAGGGGACTCCCTGCCAATCAGGGGGGTGTTCTCACACCGAGGGTTCTGAAAGTTTGCGTTCTGGCTCCTGCATTATAGAATAAGAGGTTACTGCATGTGGTCACCCCGCCACTGGTGCTCAGTTGTTTCTGTTCTATGATCTGCTCTTCATAACGACTCTCTGACTAAGAGCCTCAGTCATAATTACAAGTCAGAGGCTGCAGCTTGGTACCATATAGCCAGCGGTTAAGTAGACAGGGGTTAAACACCTCTGCCACAGTCCAACATAGTTCACATTCTTTCTTAACAATGCACAGGAGAAAAAACATTTAGTCTTCGTGGGACACAAGCTCACTAAGATCCTACTTTTACTTTGTGGGGACCTACAGGCATTAAATAGATCAAATATATAAATATATAAAGCTTCACATGTCCCTTATAAGTACATTTAATATAAAACGGAAAAACTGCCACGTCCCTGATTGATTATTTTGTATTATATGTAGAAAAGTAAAAGCTAATCACATCACCTCACTGTCATGTTAAAAGTAAGATATTTAGGTAGATGCTTTGAATTGTTAATACAAACTTCTAATACAGAAAACAGTAACTAAGATTCTCTAAGTTCTTTCTAAGCTATCAGGGTATTCTTACCATCCTAGCTTCATGTAAACAAACACAAGACAACACACATTCATTACTGTTCGAGCTGTTTCTGCATAGTAATCATCTGTACTTACGGACAAACTAGTGCTTTTGCATTTTTTGGTTCATTAACTGTACATTTCTAGTTTGTTATTGCTAAACTATTTTCCATAGAATATGATTTCCTAAGATTACATCAATCTGGACCATTGGCAGCCACTGACAGCTGACTCTTACTGAGGCAGCTACATGGAAGAATAGATCCCTCTACAACCCTTCAGTTGTATGCTTTAGAATAAAGTCAGTATAGTTAAATGTACAGGATTCATAAATGGCCTGTAACAAGAAAAGCTTAAAATATGATCTGACTTTCAGAATACAGAAGCTGTCAGTTAAAATTCCATAGTCTGCTTGATTAGCACACAGCTAAAACAGAAGCAAGCAGTGGCAGACTGTAGATGCATATGCTTATTTCTCTTCCGTGTAGTTATGTTGATTCAGAGCAGGCACTTGCAGTCCTGTGGTAAACTGTAACATGTAGCAAGCAGGGTGAAATGATTAACTTGTGCAAATCTGAATTGACTTCTTTAAAACCAGGTCAGCTGGCAGATCAAGCAAGCATCTACTTTTCTATCAGCATCAAATGGGAAATCTAGTGAAGGGTTGTAACTCATAGAGTGTCTTGACATATATTGCTGACAGTGTGTGACAAAGGACATGCGAGCCATACATTACAGAGACACTAGCTATTCTAACTCGTCCTATCGCAGGCAGTGGGCGTTGATTTGCTGCTGCTCTGGGTCACAGGGGGGCAACATCAGCTACCTATGGCAGGCAGTGTATTGATCCTGCTAGCCTCTAGCTAGCGGTGGGTGCTAACTCACATGTATTCAGTGACGGGGGCATTGCTGACAGTGTGGGCTGTAGCGGGCAGGCTAGCTTCGCTACCGTAGCTGGAGCCACAGCTGTAGAGACTGGGCATGTGAACGCGGTACAGGTTATCGTGCACGCCGCCACGTGAGGCGCCCGACTCGTCCTCTCCATCTTCCTCATCCGTCCTTCAATTGGTCAGGGTAAGGGCAGGGCACAAGAGGGCACGATGAACAGGAGGGGGGGAAAGGTAGAGGGGAGGGAGATCCGAGAGAGACAACAGAGTGTAAACAAGTGGTTGAAGAGGAGGTTAGGAGAGGGGGAGGTGTTCTTGTACAATGAAGGAGTCTCCTGATGTAAAAGACTGGTTAAGACCGTGCCTTCAGCCCCAAAGCAACTGAACAAGAAGAGAAGGAACATGGGCAGCATTCATCTACAAAACAGGTCCACAACAAGTACAGCAGTGTCTCTAATGTCACTACACAGCTCAGAGTAGAGCTGTTTTTATTGCTTTGTTTGGTCACATTATATTAAATATTAAAAGAAGACAATGGACTCTTCGATATTCTCAAAGTTCTCTCAGGAACATGCAGTCATTTCCTTCATGCACTCATCGATAACCATCCTGGTATTTACTGTCCATTCCAAACAGAGTCAAATTTCAAGAATCCATTTTTTTTATTCTATAACTCATGCATCTCTGAGTGTTCCATGGAAATCAAAGCAAAAAGAAAAAAAAAAAGAAACGCCAGGAAAAAGGAGATAATGCGGCTGGTTTGGGAAAAACCATTTTCAGACATAAAATGGTCAAAAATGTAAAAACGGCCAGCAATGTAACAGAGTGAGGCATCAAATAAGATATGTGCTGATTTGGAAGTTTGATCTCTGGCTACAGAAATGCACTGGCTTCGACAATGTATGACCAATCACAAAACTCATGAGCATATGTGGACCCTGTTGTTACCTCCGCCAGGGATTGTTTATATTCTTGTCGGTATTCGTTTGTTTGTTGGAAGGATTCTGAAAAAACTACCAAACAATTTTCATGATTTTTTGTAGAGGGGTGGAGCTAAGTAAGAACCAATTGAGTTGAATGCAGATCCAGGTATTGTCTCACTGTCTTAGACACTGTTATTTCATGAATCAAATAAAAACCTGTAGTGAATTTAAATGTGGTTTCCTGAGGGGGCTGCTTGGCCTTGGCGGAGGTATGTGCTCTACTGCGTGAGTTTGGACTATAATTTTTTGTGGCAGTTTATGCCAACTGTTCACGTTATAACAAAGTAGGATGGAAATGATTCAAAGAAGAAATGAGAGAGAAAGCTCTATGAATAATATTTTAGCAGGGCCCCCCTGTGTTAACAGAGACACAAAGGTAGAGGTGTTACTACCCTGATTGGCCACCAGATGGGGGGTGTTTCACTCTTTCAACCAAAATGGAGTTACACTGTGCAGCCCATCACAAAGACTCAGCAGCTGCAGCACACTCAGTCAGCTGAAATATTTCTTAATTCAGAGATGTTATGGATTACTGTTTGATACCTGCCATACGACAGCATTGCTGGTAACTCATACCCACCAACAAGCAACAAAACAGCACCATTATGGCACAGCTGTGTTTCATAATTCAACCGTCACGTACAGCGTGATGTACCATCTACAGCTCTTTGCGCTGTTTTTAACCACAGAGGTGTTTGGTTGTTATTTGGCTGTTTGAAAGGTCCATTTATTGAACTGTTGGGTCAATCGATTTCCTCAATATCCACCATCATTCGCTGAAGCCCAAAACATTTCCAAATCAGGACAGGGAGAGAGGAGGAAGGGAAGGAACAGAAGGAGGAGGTGGGGGCATCGAAAAAAAAAAAAAGAAAAGGTAGTGATACACAATCTAACAAAACAGTGGCGCTCCAAGTTCGAGGCGGGGAAAAGAAAACGAGAGAAACAAACATAGAAACAAATGATGAGCCAGACTGGCGGCGCTAATGGCAAACAATGAAATAAACAAAACTTGCAGAGAAGAGTGGATGGATGCAAAGACAGGCAGGAAGACGTACAGAAGGATACACTAGCTCAGGAGGCAAACACACTTAAAATACATGCATGGACACCAAGTAGATTCTTTGTGGGCCATCAGTTGAATTCAGTGAGACAATTAGAACGAGTAACATGTTAGTTGTTAATGCACAGGTTATCTAGACAGGCTAATTTAGGGATGTAAATGTGTGCATAAGAGGGAGACAATGTGTGTGTGTGTTACCTCTTGCCAGGCCAGGTATGTGGCACACTGCACACGATGGAGGAGAACATCAGAGCAGTGACAAAGGAGAAGAGAACCAGGTAGATGAGACCCTCGACTCCGTCATAACACAGGCCTGTTAATGCTTGAACATAGTCCTAGAGGAGCGGAGAGGAGAGAAGTCAGTTGTTATCAAGGATCTGAGAGTTGAGGAGTTATCTCTTTTAGTAACACAACAAACAAAGTGACTCACCATGTGTAGGCTGCGACAGTCGACCAGAGCCGTCAGCTGGTGAAGACCAACCTCCGTGGAATTCAGCACAGACTGGATTTGCTCGAGACTCCCCTGCACACATACAAAAGCAAAAATTACACATGATGCCTTCGTGTTTATCACAACACGTCAGATAAACACGCATGTGTTGGCACTTTTGTAAATGCCACTTTCATCACGCTCCCACTAATGCGAAGCCACTCATGCGGGAAAATAAAGACCCACAGATCATTGCACACACGAGCACACGCACCTTAGTGTTGGCATAATCACGTGTTGCTGATCTCAGTAGCTCTGCCACATCATCCTGCATCTCCACCAATGCTTTGTGACTCCCTGACAGCCTCTACAAAACATACAGAGTAACACGACACACAAACAAAAACACAAAGAAATTTACTTTTCGCTCATTATAAAATAACTATGAAACCAATAGAAATACATTCTGTATTCTTCAAACAACAGTTACCTGCTGGAAGGGATTAATTTGGCCAGGACTGCACCTCAGGTAATACTGCAGGATATCTGGGAATACACCAATAAATACATATCAACTGAAAAATAAAACATTTTTATAACAGTACCGCTCAGGCATGATTTGTGTGTGTTTATGTGTGTTACAGAGGCAACATCTGTGCTGTACAGCGGGCAGATAGAGCGGAAACAACTGACAGACAATAGAACTCATTAGGTGAGTGCAGAGAGGGAATTGAGGGAAGGAGAGGAAGAAAGGGAGCAATTGAGAAGTAAAGATGGATATAAAAGGATGAAGATGGAGGACAAATCAGATAATGAGCTAAACTGAAGAAGCAATAATGTGTTCTGATTCTTCCTTTCTTTCTTTTTACATTAGGGACGAGCAGGAGCAAGAGCGAGTGGGGAGTGTGCAGGGCTGCAGATGCACTGCAGTCAGCAGAGAGAGAGAGAGAGAGAGAGCGAGAGAGAGCTTTTAGATTTTAGTGTCAATCAAACACAATCCCCTTGGATACACTCATACACTCAGACACACAAACACACACACTTGATTCTTAAAATAGAAGCAACATGTCAGGGTGAGATTCGACTGTCAGTGTGGAAGCTGTGGAGTCTATTCTGTATATATCTGCTTATTTGTCCGAGACTGTATCTGAGCAGTCCATTGACCAGTCTCCTCCCGTTCCTCCCTACTTCACTTGAATTTAAAATACCATTCGTCGCTTATAGGGTTCAGGATAAAAAGTAAATAAACACACAATAATTTTCACATGAAATAATGATTGTTTTATTTCTTCAGACAATTCGAATAAAAAATTGAAGGGGGGAAGATTAAAATTTGGCTTCTGCTCACAACAAATACACATATTAATGCAGGTTTTATTGTTCATTTTTTTGTTTTGTAGTATTTTGTTCCTGCGTACCTTGGTTAATGACAGCGTTTTCCTTGGTTACTCTGGTGATGTAGGTATCCGGGGAAGCGCAGAAGTCGCTGGCTGACTGTTAAGAGGGTAAGCACACATGACACATCAAGCTACAGTAGCATCCTCCTCGAACACACTCACTCGAGCCGTGGGTAGAGATTACATCATTGCAGAGGCAGAGAGCTCTGCGATGTTGCCATGGTTACACTTACAGCAGCGACAGCCAGTTCCAGGCCGAGAGACCCCCAGCTGATGATCAGAGTCAGAACCCCCAGCAGACACACTCTGAAGGACCAAACAAATACAGATTTTTAAAGTCAAGATTTGGCTTAACAATGTGTCATCGTCACGCAGCTCTGAAAGACACAGATTCAGAGTCTACAACAGGATTCACCTCCGATAGGAGCAACGTTTGAGGTATGACGTGAAGTAAACATACCCAATGAGAGTGCCTCTGGAGTTACGAATCAAGCCGAAGAGCACCAGAAGACAAATGAGTACGTCAAACAGCAGCAGGCCCAGGTATCCCAACCACCTGTAAATAAACACATATACCACAGTGTCAACACATCGGCCTCAAGGACATCTCATCTTCCAGGGTCACAGTCAGATCACTGCTTAATGGCTGCTAAATGGTTTGGACTCAGAATCACAAGATTATAAAGCAAAAGTTTTCCATTAGTTAATTCCCTGGGATTTATACTGTTTCAGCTTTAAAACCAGGGTCGGCTGACAACTTAAAAGTAGTGTGGTTGTTTTTAATGGTTTAAACATGCATTCTTAAGCCAAGCTGAAATAATACTTCAACGCTGCTGACAAGCATAAAACATGTAGTATTACTTATAAGTACTAACCTGTAAAAGTCAAAAGCCTCAGTCTTCCGGGCAAAATCCTCCAGTGAAATATCGGTATTGGACCAGAAGGGAACGTCCACCATCAGCTTAACCAGCTCATCCAGCTGGCCCTGCAGCTTCTGGACGATGGACACGTAGTCTGTCTGCTCCTGGAAGGCCGTCTCTAACTGGACCAGGTTCTCCTCCACGGTCTGGTTTAAGGCTAGGGCGCTGTCAGACACCTGGATTCAGATACAAACCAAAAGAAGCCGCCATCAGTCATATTTTTACGATCATTTGATTGGTTTTTAAGGCAATTTTGAGGATTTCTTGAACTGAAACAACACAGTGGATAACTCACCAGTTTCTCTACCCCAGATACAGTGCGGTTGGCATGACGGAGGGAGTACGCCAAACGATTGGCTCCATCGCTCGACTCTCCATTTCCGTAGAAGCCTACAGCGATGCCAGCGCTGGGAGGCAGAAAACAGGGAGTGTTATCCCAATGACTAATTCAGGCATCAGATGGCCTAAACTTCACCAATATGGGAGAATAATGTCTTAGACACACAATGAACTGCAGCAAAGTCAGTTATTGAGTGCAGTCCCTGTGTTAACCAGCAACAGGCAGCACTGAGCTCTTGGTGTGTTGATTTGGTGTCACCATTGGGCCTCAGGCCATTCAAGGCATGGGACTCCCAGGAATGATTTGTTTTCTCTCTCTCTCCAATGCCCCCCCCAACACACACACACACACACGCAGAGACAACACAATAATTGGGTCACCAGACCGAACATAATATGGTCCTTCTGTAGCTCTGCCCCGACATGCACATGACACATGCTACAATATTTTAGTTAGGTGGCCCCAATTTCCTTTCTTCCTTGTACTCCTTCCTGCATGTTACCCCTCGTCAACCTGACTCCACTGCTGCAGAAATCTGTTTTTTTTTTACACTCGCTTTTGTCTCATCTCGCCCTTTATTTCCCTGCGTACCCCTCCCCACTGTGCTCTTGTCTTCTCTCTCACCCTGTAAAGCTCTAGTAGCCCCCTCCCTTCCCTCTCTCTACTGTATGTGTGTGTGTGTGTGTGTGTGTGTGTGTGTGTACACTTTGCATTTATGATGTCCAGACAGAAGTGTAGTGGGACATTTATGGCCATTGTTAAAGCAATTCATTCTAGCCCATTAGGTCTTGAGTAGCCCCGCTTTGAGTAGATCCCATGTTACACACAATAGCCTGTGTGTGTGTGAGTGTGTGTGTAAACATACATTGTTTGGTGTGTTTGAGTGCTTTATGATGAATTTTACTTTATGTGTACTTCTTACATAAGACAACATAAAGAGAGAAACAGGCTTGACAAGAGAAAGAGAATAAAAATGAATAGTGTAGCTTTGTACATGGAGGTAAATATCTACCATCCCTGCCTCCCACCATTTTCCATCCTCCCCATCATCTCAGTTTTAACAGTAAATCATCTCCTTCCACTCCTGTTTATTCATCATCTTCTTCTCTCCTCTCTTCCACTACTGTCACCTCCTTTTCTCTCTATCCTGCAGCAAGGACTGCAGCAAGGCAAAGGTTCACAAGTCAAATATTTCATAATGGTCATCTTGAGACTGAGAAGCAAAATCCACACACAAACAATAGTCTGACATTATTTTGCTTTTAAGAGACAGTGACCTTTTCTGATTGATGTTAACTCTGATAGACAGCACAGAGCTTCGGTGTCTGCTTCGGCCCATTTTCAACTGAAATGGACAAACAACATAAGTCTTTGTTGAACCGTAATGGTCAAACTAAAACGCACTCAGCCGGAGCTCGATCGATGGAATGGTAAAATGTTGTATTCAGTCAAAATTGGGTTCATGATGAGTTCAAGTCCAACTGATTCCCTCGTATAAGAGGGGCTAGGAGAGCGCAACATGTACCTTCACCAAGGCAAACACCCTTTCTTACTGTTTAAGAAAGACAATCAACAGTGAAAACATAACCTCCTTGGCAGAGGTGCAGCCAACTGAAATGGCTTATGCAATACCAATAGTGCAGCCTCCATGTAAACATGAGGCAGCATACAGACACTGTTATCTACAGGGAGGAATTCTTATCGGAACCATGAGGGTCCTCAGAGTGCAAACCTCCCTATCTCACCATGTTTAAGTGGAACATTTCCTGGCACATTAATCTAGATGCACTCCAAACTTTAATGTTGTCTGCCTCACGTCATGCCCCCACCATCCCAAAGATTTCATGGAAATCAGTTCTGCTGACTGACAAACGAACAAAAGACAATAAAAACTTAACCTCCTTGACGGAGGTAACAAAGGTGTCCAAGTCAGTATCTGGTTGATGTATTTGTGGCTTTTCATATTAAGAATCTTACAATCTTTTTTTTGTAATTTCCTTCTGCTAAGCAAATTTCAAATATAAACCCCCAAATGACTGAGTAGCTGGATTTAACAAATGTTTGCTGAAGAAATAACTTAAACAATCAACTGATTATCAATCTGATGCTTTCAGCACAATATAATACAGCAGTAAACAACCTGATACAAGAGGCAGCTTCTATCCAGACACACTGCACCTGCACACAAATGGAGGAAGTCCACATGTAGCTGGTGCTGTGCCAAAAATAAAATATGATGTCATATTAAATTGTGGACAAAGAACACGCACGCAGGCACACACAGAAATATGTGCCTGCGTTCTCAGATCCATATCAAATATTCAAAAAGAAGTGTTATAGCTAATCATGAAATATTAAAACCTACAAAAAACGCTCTTTGGCACTGAGTCACGCTCACGCGAACGCGAACACACACACACACACACACAC